CCATGGTTGAGACGGGTCGTTTTCAAGATGTGGCTCTCGCCTTCGCGCCGCGCACAGTCGCTCTAAAAGCTTCAAAACAGCTTCACGGATGGATGGCGGGTGGTTTTCAAGATGCTGCTCTCGCGTGAGCGCCGCGCACCTTCGCTTTGAACATTTGCAAGAGTTTCACAGGTTGAAGGCGGGCCGTTTTCAACATGAGGTTATCGCTACAGCGCCGCGCACATCCGTTTCAACGAACTGTAAGAGCTTCGTGGACTGAAGGCGGCTCATTTTCAAAATGTGGCGCTCGCCTTAGCGCCGCGCACACTCATCTTAAAGCGGAGGTTGGGGGTGAGATCGCAATGGAAGGGAGACCCCCAACCGGGAAATCGTTTCGTTTCGTTCGTGTCGTGCGTACGGGCTAAGCGAAATTGCGTGGGCGCGCGAGAGGAATGAACCCACCGCTGCTAGAGCGAAATCAAGACAAATGATTCTCCTCCGTCCGGCGGTGGCCCTAGCGGTGTCCAGTTGTGTCCCGTGGTGGCCCGTGGTGTCCCGTGGTGTCCGCCGTTGCTAGGGCGAAAACAAGACAAAGGATTATCCTTCGTCTGGCGGTGGCACTAGCGGTGTCCCGTGGTGTCCCGTGGTGGCCCGTGGTGTCCCGTGGTGTCCCGTTGAGTGAAATCGACAGTGAGATCGATCGTGGGATCGACAAGCGTCCAGTGGTGTCCCGTGTTGTCCCGTGGTGTCGCGTTGAGTGTGATCGATGGTGAGATCGATAGTGAGATCGATAGTGAGATCGATACTGAAATCGATGTGGTGCCCCGAGGTGTCCCGTGGTGTCCCAAAAAGCGCCCGGACTCGACTACGTAGTTTTCCTGGTTAGGCATAGCGTCACTCTCTGACAGCGCCGCTCAGGCCACTCGCTTTTGACCCGCACTTGCGCCGACGTTGCTGGCGCCAGTCTCTGACAGCTTTGGTAGGGTTGCACTATATTGGTTCCGCGTTCTGGCAGCTACAATTCTGCGGGCCTAGGACTATCTACCTGTGCGGGCTGTGCGCAGGCAGGAAAAAGTGGCAGCGCATGACCGCGATTATACTCACCGTCGCCATCGTCGTTACCACCATCACACTCACCATCAGCACGAGCACCATTGACCAGCAGAGGAGGTGGCATTTATTTGGCCGCGATGGCGGTGGTGACTCATATCGATAGTGAGATCGATACTGAGATCGATGTGAGATCGATCGTGAGATCTATCGTGAGATCGATAGTGAGACCGATCGTAAGATCGACAGTGAGATCGATAGAAAGTCGATCGTGAGATCGATTGAGTGAGGTGTTGGTTACTCCCCCCCCCAACCTCCTTGTCACCCGAAGGGTGGTCGTATAGGTATTGCCAAAGTTTCACAAATCCCCATGGCCAGCGTGCCAGAAATCGCGTTCTGGAAGGACTCGGGATTGTGAGGGCGCAAAATGTACGTTGCTTCGCGGTGCTGAAATCCCAGGAATGGTGTTCTGGCACGGTTCCGGATCGTCAAGACGCAACAGTCATCTTGATTCGTGGCGTTGTCGCCCCGAGAATGGTGTTTTGGCACTCCTCAGGGTCTTCGATCGGATGTCTCCCAACGAAGCAGTTCCCTCAGCGGAAGTGAGCCCTTGTAGGAGCGCCTGTGCGGAAGCTTGTAGGGAGGCTTTATTTCAAACATCCTTAATGAGTCTTTGGTTTACACTGGCCACCCCGCTTCCTTCTCCTCCTCCCTCTCCTATTTCTCTTCCTCCTCCTCTCTCTCTCCTATTTCTCCTATTTCTCTTCCTCCTCTCTCTCCTATTTCTGTTCCTATTTCTCTCTTCCTTCTCCTCCTCTCTCTCCTATTTCTCTTCCTCCTCCTCCACCGCCTCCTCCACCCCTCTGCTATATCATCAGCTCCTCCCTGCCGCACCCCCAGGCGCGTCGGTAGGGCGGGCCAGGCGTTTTCCCCGAGAGATTTCCTCACCATGTGTGATCCCGAGCTGTGCAGCACTGTCACTGATGGAGGGCGGGTGGTTTATACAATAGGGCTCTCGCCTTCGAAGCCCGCGCCTTCGTCTTGAGAGTCTTCGGCGGCTTCACGGGTGGAAGGTGGGTCAGTTTCAAGGTGTTGCTAGCACCCTAGCGCCACGCGCGTTCGTCTTTGAAGCCCCAAGGAGCTTCAAAGATGGAGAGCTGTTCTTTTTCAACATGTAGCTCTCTCCCAAGCGCCGCGCAAGTTCGTTTTAACGGCTTGCAGAAGTTAGAAGGATTCGTACGGCTGAAATTCCAGGAATGGTGTTCTGGCGCGGATTAGGGTAGTCGGAACGCAGAAATGAGGTTGGCTCGCCGTGTTGAGACCCCGGGACTCGTATTCTGGCACGACTTAGGGCAATGGCACGACAGAAGATTATACGACGGTTATCTTCCAATGGGCCCCTTTCCGCAATGAGAATGATTTCTTGCATGGACCTATGTTAAGGAACTTGGAGAAATGGATTATTGCAATATCGTTGGTGCACCTTGAGCTTGCACTGGTCCTTCCTCTCCTTCTCCTCCCCTCCTCCTCTTCCTCCTCCTCGTCCTCCTCCTCCTCCTCCTCCTCCTCCTCCTCCTCCTCTACCTCCTCCTCCTCCTACTGCTCCTCTTCCTCCTCCTCCTCATCATCCTCCTCCTCCTCCTCCTCTTCCTCCTCCTCCTCCTCCAACATTTTCCCTTGTACATAGTTCCTCCCTGCCGCACCCCGAGGCCGGTCGAAAGGGTGAGCTGCGCGTCTCGTGCCTCTGGCACGAAGTGGAGTGCCCCAAGGCTCATGCAGCACCGAGAGCGAGAGGTAGAAGCGGTGCTGCTTCTGCCACGAGAACTGTAAGTTTTTGTTCAGGGCCCGGAGCGGTCGTGTTCCACCCATTCCCAGGGTTTCCCGGGCTGGCCCTCGTGCGTTCTGAAGAGCTTCCCGCGCCTCCTGTTGACGCTGTACACCCCAAAGCGGCCTCCCGAGTCCTCCCACGAGTCCAAGAGGGCCCCGAGTCGCCGAACGACTGCTCCAAGACGTCCGTGATGGGCTCAAGATGGCCCAGGTGGCGGCCTCCAAGACGCCACAAGAGGCCTCCAAGAGGCCTCCCAAGAGGACCCCAAGAGGCACAAAGCATGAACTTCCCTGAGATGGTTGGAGGAGTTTTGCGTTCTCGTCTTTTCAGCTTTCCGACGCTCGAAGCCGGCCCAAGAGGCCCCCAAGACCGCCCCAAGACGGCCCAACAGGCCTCCAAGAGGGTCCCAAGACGGCCTGGGAGTGCTCCAAGACGGCCCAAGAGGCGCCAACAACTGCCCGAGAGGGCCTCAAGATGGCCTCAAAAAGGGGCCCAAGAGAGGGAGCACGAACCGAAAATCCCAGCCTTCCGCCCCAAGAGGCACGTAGGAGGCCCAAAGAGGCGCCCAAGAGGCCTCCAAGAGGTCCCCAAGAGGCCCCCGAGAGGCCCCCGAGAGGTCACACAGAGGCCCGAACGAGGCCCAAAGAGGCCCGAAAACGGCCCCGAAGAGGCCTCAAACCTGCCTCCAGAAGGCCCCCAGGAGGCGCCCCACGAGATCCCAACGAACGCCCAAACAGAGTTATATCCACAACCAGGGCACGGTGACGGGAGGGGCCGAAGCCATGGCATAAATAACTCCTCCCTGTCTCGCCGCGAGGTACTGCCCCCCCTTCTCCTTCCCCTTCTCTGCGTAAGTCTAGCTCTGCGCGGCCCGCTTAGCTTGGACCGGAAAAGGTGCGCTCCCGACCCGCGAATCAAACTAAACTGTCTCGCCGCGAGGCCGGTAGAAAGGGCGGACCCGGCGTTTCGCATATTTATAACCCAGAAGCTTTAAAACATTGGCACCATTTTCACGGACTGAGGGCGGGTGGTCTTCAAGATGTAGCCGCGCACATTCGCTTCTGAACAAGTGCAAGAAGTTTCACGGACTGAGGGCGGATCGTTGTCAAGTGTGGCTCTCGCCGTAGCGCCGCGCAAATTCGTTTAACATGTGGGAGAGCTTCACGGATTGATGGCGGGTCGTTTTCAAAATGTGTCTCTCGCCACAGCGCCGCGCATTTTAAAACATTGAAGGAATTCCGCGGACTGGTGGCGGGTCGTTTTCAAAATGTGGCTATCGCCACAGCGCCGCGCACACTCGTTCTAAACACTTGCAAGATCTTCACGGATTGAGGGCGGCTCCTTTCCAAAATGTGGTTCTCGCCTTAGCGCCGCGCACACTCGTCTTAAATATTTGCAAGGGAGTTTCATGGAATACCGTGGCCAACGTGCCAGAAATTGCGATTTGGAAAGACTCCGGATTGTGAGGGCGCAACAATTATGCTGATTCGCGGTGAAGTCCCAGGAATGGTGTTCTGGCACGATTCCCGATCGTCAAGACGCAACAATCATCTTGACTCGTGGCGTTGGAATCCTGAGACTGGTGTTTTGGCACGCTTCAAGGTCTTCAAACGGTCGTCTCCCAACGAGGCAGCTCCCTCAGTGGAGATGAACCCTTGAATTTGGCCGCCCGAAATGGGTAGGGAAAGAATGGGTACAATGCCGAACAGCAGTTCCTGTTCATTTTGAACAGGACTCGCTGTCCGCGCCGCCGCGGCCTGTGTCCGTTCGAGACAGGAGGCCGCCTGCCCAACAGCGGACGCTGTTGGTTTGGGACAACATTTGTTGTTGGGCTTTGTACCCATTCTTTCCGTACCCATTTCGGGCGTCCAAATTGTAGGGGCCGGTGTAGAGGGAGGGTTAATCCCAACATCGTTGATGAGTCTTGGAATTGCACTGGTCCTCCTCCTCCCCCTCCCCCTCCTCCGCCTCCTCCTCCTCCTCCTCCTCCTCCTCCTCCTCCTCCTCCTCCTCCTCCTCCTCCTCCTCCTCCTCCCCCCTCGCCCCTGCGCCTGCCGAGGAGGAGCCCGCCGCCCACCGACCCATGGGCGCGGGCGCGCGGCGCGTGCGGCGCCGCGAGGCGGCCGCCGGCGGGCCGCCGGGCATCCTCCCCGTTCGCGGCCACGGGGCCCGCCGAGTGGGACCTCCAGGGCGCCGCCGCCGCCGCGGAGGCCAGCGGCGGGCCCTCCACCCGCCGCCGCCGCCGCCGCCGTCCTCGCCGCCACCGCCACCGCATCCGCATCCGCCGCCGCCGCCGCCGCAGTCGTTCTCGTCGTCGTCGTCGTCGTCGTCATCGTCGTCGTCGTCGTCGTCGTCCTCGCCCTCGTCTTTGTCCTCGCCCTCGTCGACGTCGTCGTCGTCGTCCTCCTCCCCAGCGGCAAGTTTTTCGGCCTCCTGGGTCCTCGCCGGGCCCCATGGCCGTCACAAAACAGCTCGGGAGGAACAACTCGTGCCCAGAAAGGTTGGAGACCTCTCGGGGAGCCACGTCGCGAGCAATTCGAGACGTCGGATGCTTCGGTGGAGCGCCCCTCCCGCGGGCCGGGGACTTCGTCTCGAGACCCGTGTTGCTCGCGGCACCGAAGGGGATCCGCAGGGGCCCTGCCGACGAAGCCGAGAGTGACCAGAGGCCTCCGCGCCGTGACCTGTCCCAAGACATCCGAATGTCCTACTTTTTTCAGGAGGCGGTCCACAGAAGTCCTGACCCGTCCATGGGGCCAGCTTTTCATCAAGAGCCGTTTTTTCGACTGTCCTGGGGCCAAACAAGGGCCTCCAGAAGCCCTCGGCCGAAAACTGCAAGTTCCCCCCGCAAAATATCAGAATAACAGCAAAGCACGGCCATGTGCACCTTGGTGTGTTGCTTACACCAGAAATCGCGGCCGCACGGACCACACATGCAGCCTGCCTCAAGGCGAGAGCACGATTCCTGAGTAAACTGTCGGACCAGCGGTCCCCGGGCTTCCCGCCCCCCCTGTGGGATTGTTAGATCCCCCACAAAAACAATACTTGTACTTAGGAGTTCTTCCTTGTTTTCCAAGGAACTGGCCCTGACGGCCCCCTGTGGGATTATTATCTGGTCTTCCCCCCCCCCCCAAGAAAAACAATGCTTGTATTTAGGGGTTCTTCTTCCTTGTTTTCTAAGGAACTGGCCCTGACGGCCTATGTTGTCGCCGTCGCCGCTCCGCCGCCGCCTCGTCGCCGCCCGACGTCCGGGCCCGACGGAGGGTCTGGCGGCCATGCTGTCGGCGTCGCCGCTCCGTCGCGCCCTCGTCGCGCCGCCCGGTGTCTGGGCCTCACGGTCGGTCGAGGGATCGATTCAGGAATCAATTGTGAGGAAGTTGACTACCTACCAGACCACCCCAACCCAACCCGAAGACCCGAATTTCGGGTTGGGGGGGGTAAGGGTTCCACATGTGTTTTTTCGATGTTTCCCGACACCCACCCCACTGGAAATCGAGGGTAAATCTGAGCCTTCGGGTTGGGTTGGGGTGGCTTGGTGGGTGGTGAGAAGTGTCAGGCGGGAGCCGTTGTTGCTGTAGTTCGGGACCCAGCAACCCAGCGTGGTGACGCCAAGCTTCCCCTGATAAGAACCGGGTGCGAGCCCCGGGGGGGGGCACCTCATTGGAAAAAGAACAGTGGTTACCGGAGGGGGGAGATCAACAGTTACTTTAGAAAATAGATTTCGACAACAGCAACAACAGCAGCAACAACAACAGCAACAACAACAGTGACAACACCACCAACAACAACAACAATCAGTTTAAGACTGCTCGCTCCCATCTGCTCGCGTGCAATTCAACACGTGTAAACCCAAACCCTCGATACCCGCCGCCCTCTTCGTCTTCGATCGTGCCCCGCTGGGGGTGTATATCTTTTTAACCTGCAAAATGTATTTCGTGCAGCCCCTGAAATAGGGGAAGAGAGGACGCGTGGAAAAAAAGGACAACGGGCAGGGAGGAAATTGGAGCACGAGAGAGAGAAGCAGGAGTGGGGCTAGGAGCAGAAAACACGTGGCAGAACCAAACGGGCAGATCGGGCGGGTGGACCCTCGCAGGCGGGTCGGGAAGGCGGGCGTAGGCGGCCAGGTCGAACAGGCGGGTTGCTCAAGCGTGCGTCCTGCATGGATCGCGAGGAAGTCTCGAAAGACAGCGCGATTCCCAAGTAAATCGCGAGGACGGCCACAGCAAAAACGTGATTCCAGAGTGTCGAGGGCGCGGCGTCTGAATACATGGCGAGGGCGTCGCACGCGAGAGCACGATTTCTGCATACAGCGTGAGGAAGTCCCGCGCGAGAGCGCGATTTGGGAATCATTGTTGAGGAAATATCAGGCGGGAGCCGCTGTTGTTGTAAACCGGGTGCCAGCAACACAGTTTTGCGACACCTCGCTCGCACGTGCAAGAGAAATAATGCAAGCCCCGTGAGAAACACTTAACTTGAAAAAGTGCAACGCTTACCGAAGAGGGGGGATCGACAACATTTGTTATTTAAACATGAAAATTAAACAACCACAACAACCACAACAACAACAAAAACAACAACAACAGCAACAACAAACAACAACAACAACAGTTGAGACTCTTCGCTCTTATCTGATCGTGTGCCACTCAGCACGTATACCCCGCCCCCTCGATATCCGCCCACTTCGTCTTCGATCGTACCCCCTTGGCTGTATATATCATTTTAACCTGCAGCGCGTCTGCCGCGCAGCCTCTAAGGCAGGGGAAGAGGGGACGGATAAAAGGCAGGGGCTAGGGGGAGAGAGGAGGATGTAGCACGAGAGAGAAAGTAGCAGGAGGGGGGTTAAGAGCAGAACACACGTGGTCCTGCATGAATCGCGAGGACGTCTCGAGCGATAGCGCGATTCCCAAGTAAATCGTGAGGAAGGCCGCAGCCAGAGCGTGATTCCTGAGTGTTGAGGGCGCGGCGTTTGAATACATGGCGAGGGGGTCCCAGGCACAACAACAACGATAGCAACTAGAATAACAATAGTAACAGCAACAACAACACTTACCAACTACAGCAACAACAATACAAACAACAACAACACAACCAACAACAACAACAACAACAACAACAACATCAACATCAACAACAACAACAACAACAATCATTTTACCCGAACGCGTGGTGTTCTCCCCAGTGCCAGGGTTTTCATACGACACCAGGCAATACCCCCACTTCGTGGGGGGGCATTACAAGCTCTACCAAATATCCAAACGACTCTTCGCGACCACCCAAACCCAGCTTCCCGCCCTATGACGTTGGGACACTTCACTTCGTGGCGTGCGGACGACCGTGGCTACTACACTGGCGTGGGGTACACACCCACAGAACCCAATGGTTTTTGGAGATTTCGGCGTGCGCGCGCGAAGAAAAAACGAATGTGTCCCGCATGGTATTATTTGACAGGGATGATGGCCCTGGCAGGTGCGCAACCGTTGTCGCAGAAGTTCGAAAAAGTTGCTCGCAAAAGCCCGTTTGACAGAAATGTTTAAAAAGTGTTGGGTTTCCTACGAATCCGCAAGAGCGCGCGGGATGAGATTTTGACATTTTTTTGTTGAAAAACCATTGGTTTTTTGATGTTTTTATGTTGAAATCGCTCCGAACACTAAGCTTTTGGAAGGATTTCGTCTTGCGCGCGCGAATGTCCACTTTACCTTATTTTTTGCAAGGGATTCTTGAAATTTGATTATATTAGAACAAGAAATGTCATTTTATAGTGTTTTTTGCAAGGGAAAGCGGGGGGGAACAAAACAACCGGATCTTGATCACATCGAATTACCTGAGGCTTCCTCACGAAAATGATGAAAATGTAGCTGCGGCCTAGGCGCGGCGGGGGGGGCGTGCACCAGGGGGCCCAACAATAATTATTCTTTAGAATTAATAATGTTCAACAACAACAACAACAACAACGACAACGACAACGACAACGACAACAACAACAACCACAACAAAAACAACAACAACAACAACAACAACGACAACAATACGTTTAAGACTGATCGCTCTTATATGCTCGAGTGTCCAATAACGCGTATTTCCCAAACCCTCGATACCCGCCCTCTTCGTCTTCGATCGAACCCCTTTTGGGGGGTATACCTTTCTTCTCTGCAGGCCAGGCCCCGGCAAGCGGCGGGGCGGCCGCGGACCGTCGGCCTGGCCAGCGGCAGCGCTGATCGGCGGGGCGGCCGCGGACCGTCGACCCGACCCCAAGAGGGACGGACAGGGGACCGACCACGACGACGACGACGACGACGACGACGACGACGACGGCGACGGACGACGACGACGACGACGGCGACGACGAGCGAAAGCGAGAGCGAGAGAGAACGACAGCAGGGCCACGAAGGGCACGAAGTAGGCCACGAAGGGCGACGGCGGGGACACGAAGGGAATGCGTATGGGGCCACGAAGAGCGCGAACGAGCGGGGGCCACGAAGTGCAGATAATGCGGGGCCACAGAAGGCAACTATGGGGCCACTGAGGGTGGCAACTGGGCCACGTAGGACAGTGAGGGGGACACAAATGGCGACAGCGGGGCCACGATGGGCATGCACATGGGGCCACAACGGGCGCGACTCCAGGGTGCCTGGGTGTCGGGAGCGCGGCGCTTGGGCAAATTGCAAGAAATTCCAACGCAAGACCCTTCTTCAGTAAGCTGCAAGCAAGTCTCCAGCGCGAGCGCGACTCCAGAGCGCAGGGAGAGCGATTCCTGAATAAATTGTAAGGAAGTCCCCAGCGAGAGCGCGATTCCTGAATACAATGCGAGGAAGTCTCGGGCGGGAGCGGGGGTCCTGGCTAAATTGTAAGGAAGTCTCAGACGGGAGCCGTTGTTGTTGTAACCCGGGGGCCAGGGGCCCAGTTTGAGCAGGAAGACTTTCCCTGTCAAAAAACAAGGTGCGAGCGTCGAGGGGCACACTCTGATTGAGAAAAAACCAGTATGCACTGGTGGGGGGGATCAACAATAATAATTCTTCAGAAATGAAATTCAACAACAATAACAACAACAGCAACAACAGCAACCACAACAACAACAGCAGCAAAACCAACAGCAACAACAGCACAACAGCGACAACAACAACCACCACACCAACAAACATAACAACAACAACAACAACAACAACAACAACAACAACAACAACAACAA